TGTACCGGATATTGTGAGCGAGTTTGAAAAGTATGTACTGGATTCGTTGGAATACTGCTTGTAGAACAGGGAGAGCAAGGCATGAATATATGTATGTTTAAATGTATGTATGTGTATAGATATGTGTGTGTGTGTGTGTGTGTGTGTGTGTGTGTGTGTGTGTGTGTGTGTGTGTGTGTGTGTGTGTGTGTGTGTGTGTGTGTGTGCATATATACATAAATATAGATACAAACACACACACATATTTTATATATATATATATATATATATATATATATATATATATATATATATACATATATATATATATATATATATATATATATATATATATATATATATGTATGTATGTATATATATATATATATATATATATATATATATATATATATATATATATATATATATATATATATATATAAAGAGAGACAGAGAGAGAGTGAGACCAGACGAACGATACAACATGAATATGAGAAAGAGAACAGGTAGAAAGAAATATGACAGGACAGATATAAAGGAAAAAAAAAACAGAAATAAACGAAGAGAGAGGGGAAAACAAAACAACGAGGAGAGACTGCATTGACGAACACACTCCTGACTTACAACCAACTATTTTCAGAAAATTCTGGTGACAACAGTGTGGCAATTTAGCTGCCCCGGTCCATCCCTTTTTTTTTCCCAAACATGAATTCTCTCTCGAAACCGACTCCTGAAATTACCAATTCTGAGGAAATCTAATCAGGGTTTTGAGCTGAACAACACGACGCCCATTATCGTCTTGTGGCCTCGAACGGGCGATCCGCGTTCTCGTTTTTGGTTATAAATCCATGAACACTCACAACACTGACTTAGACCTGGAGGGTTGGGAGGGTTTTGGGAAGGGGGGAATAAAGACAACAAACGCGTAAATAATGCAAGACTGGTGATAAGAGTCAGTGTCTTGAGGCAGCATACACACACACACACACACACATATACATATATATATATATATAATGTGTGCATATATATATATATATATATATATATATATATATATATATATATATATATATATATATATATACCTATATATATGTATTTACTTATGTATATATATACATACATATATATAATATATATATATATATATATATATATATATATATATATATATATATATAATATATTTATATATATATGTGTGTGTGTATGTGTGTGTGTGTGTGTGTGTTTGTGTGTGTGTGTGTGTATTTTTTTCGGATTTCCACATACACAAAAAGAGAGAGAGAAGGATGGGATTGGGGGAGGGGGGAGACAAACGCAGGACAGTGTCAGTGACTGCAGCGTAGTCAAATGAGGAAGCGAAGCAAGACCAGGTATACCCGTTGGTTTGCGTGTCAGCCCAGTGTTAACGCCACGATCTCACAACGGGTGACTGTGCTGGCATGTCAATAAACTGATGTAACAACACATTACGCTGCCTTGTGTCGGACCTGCTGTGTTCCCGCGCTATGGTCACGCAACCCCTAAGGATAATTATCAGCATGTCATTTCGTTACAGATGCCTTGGGACGCTGCGAGAGTACTCGGCGATGATAGTTTTGGAAGTTATTTCTTCTTCAAATGCCTAATTCTCTCTCTCTCTCTCTCTCTCTCTCTCTTTCTCTCTCTCTCTTTCACACACACACACACACATTGCCTATTCTCTAAATTGAATTTGCATCTAAATTCATGCATATCGATCTCTTGTTTAAACATACACATAAAGACATGTTTACTCATGAACTCAACATTCATTATCATTTTCCATTATTTGATGCCGTTACGCGCTTTGCAGGATCAGGCAATGCGCAATAAAAATATCGCAGCAGCAGATATATTATTATTGCAAGCAACTGTCGTTAAATAAATTGCTTCCGTTTCCTAAACTACGTTCCTTTTACGTAAAACGTTCTTGCATAGCCAGTGCGATGCCCAATAAATTACTTCTCTTTTGTACTTAACGTCGAGATAAGCCTGCATCTAAGAAGCTGCTATGCGACCTATATCAATAGTTCACAAAGCACATGAAACTCCTCTCACTGTGAAGCATGCAATTTATGGGATAATATTCCGAATTAATTGCAAAATAAATTTGCGCTGATGCATCCTGTTTTGGAAGCACCAGGCACACTGTTGCTGTCTGTACACTTTATATCATTATGTCGTGAAATTACAACAGGATGAATTTCCACATGCAAAAAAAAAAAAAAAAAAAAAAAAAAAAAAAAAAAGATGAAGATAGGGAGTGTTTTTCTCTGTTACGAATAAGAGAGTGAAACGACCTCACGAATAGTTAGGAGGGGGAAATAGACAAGATCGGAAGAGGGAATACAGATAAATTCTTAAATCTTGGAACGAAAGATGAGGATACAGAGGAGAGAGGGGGAAACCAAAGAAATAAAACTCAGAGATAACGAGACGAAACTGTCCACTGCAAAGAGAGAGGAGAGCAAGGAATAGAGAAGAATAAAGAAAA